GCGGATCCGGTTCGTAAGTAGAGGCGGAGTTCGCATGTTGGGGTAAATTTTTGGGGCCGGAGCTGGTCATATCTTGAAAAATTCGTAAGGAGGGGCATTCGTAACTAGAGGTACCACTGTAATAGAAAAGTAAAAATACCAACAGAAAAAGACTAAAACCAGTGAAAGACTAAATCAATTTTGTAAATACCTGGGAGGATAAAGACATTTTCAGTTGGCATCAAATCAACCTAATTTAAGCGCCAGGTGATCTTCGGAAGTTCTACCACCAAAAGGTAGTTTTGTAGATACCTACCTCATTTCATTTTGTGATGCATCTGAAAAAGGACTCAGCCCCCCAAAATGTATTGCTGTGAAAATTAAAATTGACACTTTGAATTGGACTTGGAAATGGGCTGGCAAGTATTGCAGGTTAAAGGAGAAAAAAAACATAGTTGCCTAATGCATTGACCAGGCACAATTAACAGCCTAATCGTCCTATTATGGACTAATTTTGGGACAATTTTCAGTGAATGAAAATAAAACAGAATGAAGACAAAACTTAGCAGGAAGGAAAACTGAGGGGTGCCTTTATGCTGGGAATTCATTGTATTTATTGTGTAGCTTTTGGTATGTCACATCCAGGAGGTTGGCTAAGCAGAGGCAGGATTCAAGTAGTAGAGAATGTATTATGTAGATCTAATTAAGCAAATTGCAAATTGATAGACCTTCAGCATGATACTTTCTCTAAATTTCAGTTAAATATTGGTATATAAGAATAATAGAACAAAACAAACTTTATTACAGTCATTGACCAGTGCAATATGAGAATAATATTATTAATCTATGTCTTATGTGGAATTGGGAAGGATTAGGCCTCTTGCAACTCTGAGTACTTTTCAAGGGATTATTTACAGAACAAATTATTTAATTCAGCTTTCCAGAACTTGGGGCCCTTGAAATATGTTGAACTATGATTCCCAGATTCACAGACAGTATGACTAGTGGCTTTGCAGACTTGGTATCATACAGTTGGTAGATCAACACATGTAGAATTCAGTCGCTTATCAAATTTGTGATAATGTGCTATGACCCCACACCTGAAGATTTGCAACTGAATTGATATTATCTGTCTGTCTGTCTGTCCATCCAAATCAGTCTGTGTTTATGAATGTGTATTTGCATGGAATTTATTTATTTATTTATTTATTTTTCAAATTTATATATGCCGCCCATCTCACTATACAAGTGAGATTTATCCAGCTATCATGAGATTTTCTCATTAGAGAAAAAATTGTCTAACATCTATATTTTGTTTGCCAATCATTCTTACGAACTGGAAATTGAAATGGGGGACCTATGGACTGTGAAAAAGCTATACATTTTGTGAACTTTTTCTTCTTAGAAATTTAGGAAACTCTGATGCTCCAGCTCCATTTCTATGGAAGTGCAGTACTCAGGGAACGTTCATAGATGTAACAATTAAAGCAGGTATAAAAACTCACATGGTCAGCTAAACAATTCCTATATTTATGTCCTGATTTGCAGGACTTAACAGAACAGTGGCTTCTGTTGCAGAATATTGGTGTGGCTGAGAAGGGGAAAAAGATATTTGTGTTTTCCCTATTGGCAGTTATTAAAGCTGCTTGCATATTAAACCTTGTCAATCTTTTGTACAGTTTAGCTCCAGAAAGTAAACTGAATTCTGTTCATGCATTAATACTTCCTTAGTCATTTATGTTCCTTCTCCCACCCCACAATCTCTTTTGTGGATTCAGGGCCCCTCTAGAACTGTATGTGGTTTAGTACAATGTTCTCTATCAAAGATGTTAGTTATGAAAGTCAGCAATTCTTTCCTGATTGCCTCTGGTTTTACATAGGTGTCTCTCAGGATCCAAGCCCATATGTCCATCTGTAATTATCTTTAAGAAAAATCATAAAAACAGAAGAAGATATCTGTTTCATCTCTTCATTCTCCTGTTAAGTTTATTGGAATTCCAAGTAAAGAAAATCATTGTACTTAAACTGAATTTGACATTTTTGACAAAAGGTTTGGCAAAAGAAACAGAAGAGTAACAACTTCATGATATGATTTCTAGCATGGGATTGTAGACATGTTTAATGTTTTAAAAATACAGTGATTTATTTATTTCCCAATGTAATCTTCCTTTGAGGAGTATGATTGCCAACCCCCCTAACAAAATGATTTTAAAAAATGGAATAAGTTGAAACAGAATAATTGAATTGCATTACTTATAAAATAATGTTCGTCGTACAGTCATGAGTTCATGACTGTAGAAATATCACAGTTAGTATAAATATGAGAATGAAGAAGCTTAACATATAATATTTATAGTTAGAACTAGTGTTAATTCATTTCCATGCAATGTAACTTTGTGGTGTAGTATTTGAAATGTCTAGTACTTATAATGAAGCTTTAAAGTTTTGAATCTGTACAAACCTGAGAAATCTAACAAAGTCTAACAAACCTGAGAAGAATATAAAGAAAATATGCATATAGCATAATTAATCAACAAAAAAATGCAGTTATAAAGTATTCTTGAATATATACTGTGAGTTTTGATCTAATTTTTGTGTTCCATTTCTTTTGAGTTAAGGCTGGCAGAAATGAAATACTGAGCTAGTAGTTAGACAAATGTGTTTGGAATGGAAATAATTTCAGAAGGAAATTTGTTATTATGTGAATGTTTTTCCACTTGGCTATTATTTATAGATAGCTCAAGGGTTTTTAGTCCTTGTCCAGTACTTTTTATTTGCTTGGTATGTTGTTTAAAAGAGCCACATGCTGTTCTGGCTCTTAGTAAATGGATATTGAGTAGTACATTGTGTGTCTAGTCTGTAGGGGTTCCTTACATCGATTTATGTTACAATGGCCTCAACTTTCTTATTGTAATTTGTTGAAAGCAGTATCCTCATGATGCTGATATAAGATTATATATACTTGCATGAAACCACTAGTTATCTTTCAGACAGTAGTAATGTTGAAAAAAAAAGTAAAAGGAGAGATGGACTCCTAGTAGTTAGCTATGCAAATTGCTGTATCAGATCTTCCTTTCAGATTTTAGATAAAAAGAGGCACGTGCCAGATTTTTCCTCTTGTGCTTTATTGAATGACCATTCAGAATCTCATGAAGCTAAGAAAAACAAAATAAATTGCTTTTGCAAAGGGGTATGTGGATTACTTCTAAATTCATATACAAGTCTGGATGTGTAGATGCAGATGTTTCTAGTCTGTGTGTGGCCTTCAGGCGGAATTAGGAGTGTACGTTGAATTGTCAGAGTTCTGGAAAGACTCATAACCTGCAGTTATTTATGCCTTTCACATCTTCTTTCTTTACCTATGCCATGTGAAACTATTCAATTAAGTATAATTTTGGAAGATTTTTGAAAAAAATGCAGTGTACTTGCAAAGTATAATATGTTGTTTCACTACTCTGATGTTTTACGTAAACTAGCATTATAATTACTTTTGGAATAACTGGGTAGCTGGGTAGTTATGTGTTATTGCATACTAGCTAGGTTTCTGTGGAATTACATCTTTGTATGTCTATCTTTGTCCCTCTGTGCCTCTATGTGTGTGCATACAAACATGCTCAGGCTTTTCTGTTTTAACCAGATTGTGATAATTCCACAAATTGTAGAAATTATGTATGCATTTCAGTGAAGAATAGACTCATACCTCTCAGCCTTTTTACCTCTACACTTGTTTTGGATTTTAAACGGTTATGAATCATTACAAATTTTCATTGAATTATTTTTGAAGTTCATTATGAATTATCGTTATGAATTTTCACTGTTGGAACAAAAACATGGATATGCATTGATATTCATCACCCTATTCCTTTTTGGGATAAGAAGCATATTATATAGCACAGGGGGGAAAAAGAGTAACAAGTAGTGAGCAGAAGTAATTTAAAGCAGGAAATAAGAAAATAAAAAGTAATTAACTAAATCTTGTTTAAATCACACCATTCATAGTAAACTTTTAACAAGGTATAAAAATGTATTTACTTTCTCTATTTTTGAAATTTCCTGTTTGTATAATTTGAAATGGTTTATTCTAATACTGTGATCTTTGATACATTAATTTTCAGATCCATACTCTTTCTTGCACCATACAAACAGTCTTAGTATTTGCTGCAAACTATTTGGGTTCTCAGCCAACAATATAGTATCATCTGCATTCATAAGCAGTCAGGTTCCCAACCATGACCCTCTAAATTCACCACAAGCATTCCACTTATCCATCTATCCATTAAACAACTAAGGGATATCATAAATCCCATTCTTTCTCCCTGTTCAAGGATGTACTAGTTGCTAAGCAATCCATTTATTCTCATGCATGGTTTGGTTCCAATATAGTCTTCTTACTGCATT